GGGGTGGGGTGTTTGACTTAAAGAATACTCTCTTTTACCCTGGAAAGAACCCTCTTGGTAACACGACAGCCTTTTCAACTTGAACAGGTGGGAGTGGAGGAGGAAAAGGGCCTGCAGATGAATGGGACAAGGTGAGACTATGTAACAAGGCAAGACTGTGTAATGCTGACCGACCAGTCTGCGCTGCTGCTGGTTGGCCTTAGATTACCTGCTGATAGTGCAGGGAGGAAGCCATGCCCCAGTGAGCACTTGGCGTTGTCATGATGACAAAGAAGTACAGCGTAACAGATGACGTCCATGCCCTGGACAGGCAGGTAGCTGGAACTGCATCTCTACTGTCTGACAATCTGAGATGGGGATTGTAAAAGAGGCACAAATGTCCGATGGTCCAGGTCGTAATTGTCATAGCAATAGCACACAAGCACAGTCAGTGAGCCGATTCGGCCTCACAATGACTTAGTACTGGGAACTTCCCCAGAGTTTTTCGGAGGCTATACATCTTTATAGAAGCAGACAGTCTCCTCTCCCTCCCATAGAGCAGCTAGTAAGTCTGAACTGCTGACACCTTGCTGTTAGCAGCCAGTGCTTAATCCACTGTACCACCAGGGATCTTTGGTTGCAGCAGTAAAACTTACTACTGTTAGGACTTGTCTTGAACCTGCTCTACTAAGCTCATGGCAATCAGGGCTCTCCGAAGTACAGTCTGAATGGTCCTCGAAAGCGAGGGCAGTGAGACTTTGAGGACGCATGTTATTTTGGACATGCTAGCAGGCAGGACCAGTCCCTGAAGGACACCATGTATGGAAAGAGGACATTCAGCAAAATAGACAGAGACACTGACACAATGGATATAATAATGAGCTCAAATATAATCCTTATGAAGACACTTCAGGAGAGGCAATGTTCCATTCTGCTGCACATGGGGTCCCTGGGAGTTGGAACCAACCTGATGGCATTGACACAACTGTCATAGAAGTAATGTCACGGAGGAAACCCCTCCTAGGACAGCTGGGGTAGATCGGTGGGTGTACAGGTGTGCTATCGCTGTCCCCGTTGGGGTGAATGGTCTACAGACTCCAGGGGAGATGACTGTCCTCTGAGGGGAACCAGAACTGCACAGAGCTCTCTGGCACCTGTGCATCTAGCCTGATCTGAACAGACAGCAAATTCTGTCCTCTGCCAACAGGGGTAGTGCTTTCCACCTCAGCAATCCTTTGACCTTGAACCAACCCCCCCCCCCGGGGTAGCCCCTGCTTACACACAGGGTTTGTTGATCAGTTTAATTCCAGAGAGGAATTCAGGCATTTTTCCTCCCAAGATGTGACCTGAGACGTGCTTAGATGGGAGCGGACCCTGAACCCAGGAGCCCAACTTCAGGGAATGTAGGTGGATGACATGTGTTCCACTCATTCCTGTCCCGCTGATTCTGGGAGTAATGAAACATGTCACTGGGAACAAGTGCTTGGTCTGTGACTATGGTGCTACTGCAGAAACCTGGCTTCATCCCTGGCTCTGTGCCATGTGGCACAGCCTTAAAACAACCAACACAGAAGCCAACAAATCCAACAATTACCAGCCATCCTAAGTGACACAGGAGTCACAAGCTAACCCAGGCCACTGCCCACAAAGGGAACCCCGGCAGAAGCACCCCATGACTACCCACAGAACAGTCCTCAGCAACTCACGTCACCTGCTGTCATTTCAGCACAAATACCCAGATCTGTTGCTTTCTTTTAAGGAAATCTGATGGCACTGTGGGTTAAGTATTGGGTTGCTGTCTAGAAGGCTGGCAGTTCAAACCCACCAGCTATTTGTTAGGTGAAAAATGAGGCAGTCTCCTCCCACTAAGATTACACCCTTGCCTCCTCCCTGGGGGATGGACAGCAGAGAAAAGGGCGGAGGGAGACATTGGACAGTATAACTTATGACAAAACTATAATAATTTATGAATTATGAAGGGTTCATGAGGGAGGGTGGAGGGTAGGAGGGGGAAAATGAGCAACCAATATTAAGGGCTAAAGCAGAAGGCAAATGTTTTGAGAATGATGAGGACAACAAATGTACATATGTGCTTGACACAATGGATGTATATATCGATTGTGATAAGAATTGTACGAGCCACCAATAAAATAAAAAAAAAAAAAAAAGATTACACCCTTGGAAAACCCTAGGGAGCAGTTCAACTCTGCCTATACGGTCACTACCAGTCAGAGCTGACTTGATGGCAGTGGGTTTGGTTTGGGGTTGGCCAATCTGTAAAATACAGGAGCTTAAAATTCAAAAAACAAAATATTTGGTCATCGTGTATTCTAACTTAAAATGACTATTTGTGATAAAAGTGAGTTAAAAGTTTTTAGTTTAACAAGTAATTTACTTCACAATCAAATTATCACTATTCTTGGTATTCTAATAAATCATCATAACTGTGTGTGTCGTAGTTTCTCAATGCTGGTGTAACAAACACTGTAAGCGGGGAGCCTGAATCAGCAGAGACGCTGTGCATCCTCACAGCAAAGAAGGGAATAGTGCAAATCCAGGGCAAGGCTCTGGGGGTGCCGCTCCGTCTCTCGAGTTTCTCCTAGTTGATCTTCACATGCCCTGGCATCTACCTTCCTCTATCCTCTCCGAGTGTTTGCTTAATCACTATTATATGTCTGAAGAGACAGACTCAAGACACATCCTATGCTAACCCCCCTCTCATTAACAATTAGCCTAAGAAAGACAACCCATTCCCAAATGAGATAGATTATAACCAGTCATATTCATTTGGCTCCACGGCATACAACATTCAGAGATACAACACAATCCCTAACTGATTGCAAATGGAAAAACGGCTTCCCCACTCTAATTTTTCTATTTTACTTTAATCATTCTATTGAGGGCTCTTACAGGTTTTATAACAACCCATAAATCAATTGCATCAAGCATATTTGTAATATCTGTTACTATTATAATTTTCAAAGCATTTTCTTTCTACATGAGCCCTTGGTATCAGCTCCTCTTTTTACCCCCTCCTTCCCACCCTTGTGAACTTTTGATCAATTGTGTATTACTACTGTTATTTTTATATCTTACACTGTCTCCTTTCACCCACATTTCTGTTATTCGTCCTCCTTGTAGGTGAGTGGGTAGATTATATATCCATCATTGTGATCAGTCGTTCCCCTACCCACCCACGGTATTGCTATTCTCATGACT